GAGGTTTTTTTAATTGAACAATCTAAATCAGATGCCAAAACAATCAAATGTAACACAATATGACTTGTTAATGATGATTAAGAAGTCATTGGTGTTACGATTATTTGTCATTATGCTCCACTTGCACCAAGTCATGCACGGTCATTAATACAAACAGCCTTTTACAAGCTCCACGGCCGTGTGTATTCAGCAGCAGGAGAGAAACTCAAGCTGCTTTTTGTATTTTTAAACAGAAGTGGAAAAATTTTGGGGTGCAACTCAAAACAATCAGGTCAAAGAGTCTGACCTGGACTTTTACTTCACTCTGTGGGACATTACTCCTACATGACCTCATACGTGACAGACGCAGGCCTGGAAAGCAGTAAACTTAAATATGGCTTTTCCATAAGTTCCCTTTCGCTGATAGGACCCCCAGTGGCAGTTCCACATTTGGCCCCAGTTGGAAACAGCTCATGGACAGTATAAAAAACATAATGCATACGTTGAAGATGGCTTAACGGTTCTCGGCGGGTCAAAGAAATGTTTTGGTCAGCTGATTAGTGGAGGAGGAAAAACTATATCCTTCTGGAATAAATGGATTTACATTCGGTTTGGCGCTGTGTGCACGCTCACGGGGAGTTTCCAACAGCCGTAATAAACAGAACCGTACAACTGACGAGCTGGTGTGTAAATAAACATGGTGCGTGTGGTGTGGCTAACCCTGTGGAGCTGTTTGTCTTTTTCATGGGCAGTGATGTGGGGTTTGTATATTTGTTGGCCTTGACACTTGTGATGGACCAGAAAGAGCAATACTCACGGCTAAAAACAGCATTATATGAATTTACAACAGGGAAAAGCAATAACGGCATGCAGCGATAAAATGCAGTAAAATAAGAATACCTTGTGTCCCACAGAAAATATACTGTGATTGCATAGAAAGAAGCCATAAAGAAAAAAAACAACAATGTTTGTTTTAGTTATTTCATATTTTAGAATGTGAAATAATATCTTAAATAGTTCCACCTGCAACTCTTAAGGCTGCCACCACAGATCTGAATTAGTCAGGTTTATTTATTTATTTTAGATTAAAGAAGCTATACCCGATTTTTTTTTCTAATGAGTACATACAAATGCTTATTACTACATACAAGTTGTATTATAATCCGTAATTTAATTGATAACTTGAGTTCATTGATTCAGCTTGTGTATAAAAGTGCTGAGAAGAGACTTAGCGGGCCGCTCGCTCTCCTCCAATCACAGAACGAGGCTGCGTGCTCTAGCTTCTACAGCGCTGCTAAACACAGTAGCATGTTAGCAGAATTGGCTATAACTCCTCTTGCTGTTACTGCGTACACAGCAAAACAGCCCGAATGACACAATAGTGAGGAAGAGAAGAGGGAACTAAGTGAGAAAATGATCAAAGAAGAAATCAAGCCCGGGTGAACACAGCTAGCTTACATCGTATCCTCTGGAGAGACTTACAGTCTATGGGAGAGACCTGCGAGACCGCCTCGGACTATCTATGCTCGGACCACATTCGGACTCAAACCTAGCGGTAATCTTTCAGTTATATGTTTTGTTAGCAGTGCGTTGCTTTTGTACCATTTCATCAGTGATTGTTGTACAGCTTAAGTTGCGCTAATGCTAATGTTAGCATCATATCGCAAATACAACTAGAAGGCTCCGCTTAGTGGAAATGAGAAGCCTCTGAGCGATTTGGGGGGGCGGTGCTAAACATTCAAACCTTGCAGAAATGGGTATAGCTCCTTTAATTTAAAAAAGGATTGACAGCGAACACAGCCGATTCACTTGATCAAAGAGGGACGGTGGCTGAGTGGATAGCACTCTCGCCTCTCAGCAAGAAGGTCCTGGGTTCGAATCCCGGCCGGACCAGGGCCTTTCTGAGTGGAGTTTGCATGTTCTCCCCATGTCTGCGTAGGTTTCCTCCGGGTTCTCCGGTTTCCCCTACCACTAAAAATATGTACAATAGTTCTGGCATGCGCCTCCTGTTCGGCGACCCTGCTCCCATCTCTGTGTGGAGTGAGAGGACAAGTGCCCAAAAAATAACAATTGTAAACCGCTTTGTGACTCTGGTCTGTGAAAGGCGGTATATAAATAAAGCTTACTTACTTACTTGAGAATTTACCATAATTAATTTAAGGACAGTTTTGTTTGAGAAAATGAAGAAAACTGCTTTGAGTGTGATGTCCTATAGTGGCACAATCACATCATACTATAATGGAACTGAGACAGGAGCTTTTAGACATTTGTGGTACAGTTACATGTTTGTTCCAAAAGGGAAGTGTGGGTGGCTCTAAGAACAACTCCAAGTCTGTTTTCGATGAGAGAACAAGCTCAAAGGGGGGTCCACTTCATGTTCCCAATGTACTGTATCTTGCAAGGTATTCACAGTTGAGTTTTATCAGACATTTTAATAATGGCTTGTGGATACACCAAAATTTCATTAGATGTTGTGGTATAATGCCTAGTGACCTGTATCTATTCAAATTAAAAATATATATATATACCTGTAATGCAATATGGAGCATAAGCTGGCTGACCCCTTGATGGGAATGACCATAATGTGGCCAAATATACTTTTTCAATTTATAAAGCAAATATCATCAACCTAAATGTTGCTGGAGGGAGAAAGTGTCCCTGAAGTGAGCGTAACTGAAGACACTTACTTCATTTGGGCTTCCTAACAGGACAAACAGACTGTGCTGTAATGTCTGCTTCTTAATGGATAATGTAGAGAGCGGCCAGTGGAAATAGCTGTGACAAACCGAATGCTGGCAGTTTTGGACAGTCAATGGGCTTAACTGACTAATTTAATTTCACAAAAATGGAAAACACAAATGGCAAAAATAAGGTAATTTTTATATTATAGGTGTCGAAGGAAATATGTCTCTTATTCACAGACAACACAAAATTAGCGAGATAGTCATAGAATATAAATTGCGTGTTATTTTACTTGCTGGAGATATTTATATAAAGTTTTTGTTTTTATATTTTTGATAATATATTTACCTGTCGCTAGGGGCCGTAACCAGGGGAACACTGTGAAGGGAAACGGTCAACCCCCTCTTCACCTCCCTCTCAAAGACAAGCTTTTACTTGTACTTTCAGCATGGTTTAGTTGTTGCTTTAAAGAGGCTCTTAAAGTCCAGTTACTTTAAAATTACTTTACACATTTTCAAATCAGTTAATTTTCAAGAGATTGAAACTTTGAAGACAAGCATTGGTTAGACCTGCCCATCCTCACCCCTGCAGCTTCCTGGTTTGTGAAAATTAGGAAACTGGATTAATTCAAATCCTTGAGGCCCCTCGTCATTGCTTTAGACATTCTATTTTAAATATATTATTGTTAAAATGGAAAATACTTTTATAATATAGCATGTTTCCATGGACAGAAATAAGCATTATTTAAAAAAAAAAAAGACATATTTTAAGCCGCTGACATCCAGTTTAATGATTACAAGAGGCATTTGACGCCCCTCACAAAAGACTCATATATGACATCTTTAACAAACTGTTGGGGAGACAATACTTGTGACGTGTGCAGTACTGCTTGGAGGAGATGAAACTCTTGCCACTTGCAGTAAAGCAGAATTCTCTGCTCTAGACTCAAGGCCAATGAACCTTAATCACTGCTCCTACATGAGAGGTTTGCCAGCGGCTGCTTTGTGGAAAGGATCAGGCCAATCAGCCCAACCACAAGAGCTTATGTGATCCCATCTCAATGAAGAGAACCAGATCTGGCAAGACTTTTCTGTAATCATTTTAAAAGCTCGATCAGTACTTCTTTTTTTTTTTTTTTTACTTTGATGTCAAAATGGTTCAAGAATTTGAAGTTAAAAATGGTTCAAGATTTGATTTTTGTTTCTGAGGCCTTTCTTATTTAAAACAGTAATTTGGTATCAGTGTAAATTTTCTGTGATGCACTTAGTGCGTGTGTAAAAATCAGAGAGCGGTAGGCTAGCACCTGCAACCTACGCTGGGGCGCGTGCTAGCTAACCGCTAGCATGTCTTGTACTTAGGACTAAGACATCTCCCCACCAGATTTTAGTTACTAGGAAAGACTGTAGCCACCCTTGCTGCTTTTCCCAAATAATTTTGACAAAACCAAATGCAGAGCTTTTTCACATTCGTGACCTCATAAACCATGACAGTATACAGATGACAAAATCCCTTGTCAGAACAGTTATATCTGGGTCACCTCATTTGTATTAGCTGTCACTATCAAAGAATCATGTGCACAATAGTGTTTCCAAACTATCTCACAATGTCCTAAATAGGAGTCCAGCTTCAGTCTGACCTCAACTGCACAATCACAGCCAAATCATGAGCTCAACACTGGAGAGAGGAAGACTGCGCACATGTGTTTGCTGAGAACTGTGGGTTATTAGCTTGTCTAGGTTTTCTGATGTGGTGCAGGAAATGCCTCAGCACGCCATGTTTAGGTTTTAGCTATAAACATTTTGTAGCCAGATTTCTTCACGCTCATGGTATAGCAGTGCTTATAAAATCTTTCCGACAGCACCATCTCATTAGCTGTAAGTTAAATTACATCACTGCAAGCTGACAGCATGCCTTCTGCATCGCAGGCTTAAACAATTAGTACACTGTGTGTACTTTTCTGTGCAAGAATCTGATGAGCAACCAATCTGTTAAACAAAAGTTTTCCTGACCGCTCACTGGCCCACTACTTTGCAGGAACAATAATTGATGCTTATATAATGGTTGTCACAAAGAATTAGTTATGTTAAAATGGCACTGATCATTTGATTTATGTAAAAGTAATTGGGTACAACATATGTGATAAGTGTTTGCAATGGTTTACATCACAACCACAATGTCTCACCCTCTCTTTACTTATTTCACACTTCAGCTATGTCAAATCAAGCCTTTGGTCCAAAACTATCTTCAAGAAAGATAATGAAATGGAAAGGTTGTTGAAGTTCAGCAAAGGACTTCTGGGCAGACTATATAACTCAAAGCCCACTAGTGTTCAGTGGAAAATGCTGTTCCCCCTCTTTGTGGTTGTCTTGGTTTTGTCCTGTGAAATTGGGGGTCTGTCTCTGGGGGTGAGGGTAAGACCCCCGCTATAATCTGGAAAATATGAGTGAGGCTGGAGGAACATGGGAAACAAAAACACTGGGAGGATTCCTCTTCCATCCTCTGCGGCTGCGTGATTCAAATATATGCTTTAGTCTGCAATTTTAGCTGACCACTGAAGAAACCACAAGCCCCACTCCTCTGTCTAGGGCTACTCTTTTTCCACCTCACTTTAAAGTCTGCTGGTGTCTTGGTAAGCCTATGGTGGTTGATTCATTACTTATTTCCGTTCATGTGTGAGCAAAGTCCAACCAGCAAATAGTTTAGGTGAGGTACAGTACAACAATGCCCAATTAGCAGCACAGATAACATCAGCATGGACAGTAGTGACCTGGCAGAATGACACACATTTGAAAATAAACTTACTGCATGTATATTATAGGGTGTATATATGACTTCTCTCATATATTTATTCAAAATAATTTGATCCTGGTGCATTCCGGGGCAGTTATTCCAATGTGGTTTTACTGCAAATGGCAAATTAATGCTTGAATCTTGATCTTGAATCCTAAGTTGAACAGATTTTGGACTTTTCCATTAATCTTAGCCACTTCTCTCATTACTCTTAAGACCTTGCACTTTACGGACACACATTAATTTCTGTCCTCCGGTTTTGATTTTCTATTACCCTTGTGGCTCAATAAATGATATCTTGTTAATATGAAATATCATTATTGGCATCACAAAACCAATGTTTTATGGAATTATTTTACGAGCAGCCCATGCCTGAAAGGTGGTCAATCAAAGGCTCTGCTCCACCTCAACTTGCAATGTGGTTTTTCCTTGACAGCAAAAATCAAGTGAATCTTCCACATAAAACACTTCAGAAAATAAAATGTCATTATTTTATTACTATATCATAAGTAAGCTATGAAATGTGTTATACTTATATACTGTGTCAAATGTATAGGTGGACCACACAAGCCAAATAATCCTTCTTTTTAGGGATTGATAAATTACATATATTGTGGGCAATAGGTGCTAATAATGTAGTTTAGGGTCTTTGAGGCTTCAAGAAGTACAACACAAATCCCAATGGAACTGGCGGAAGATGTTCCATGACTCAAGGTGTTGGCGCTGTTCCAGCTCATTTGCAAGACTAATGTTTAGTTTTCTTTGAGCTTTTAAGTATTTCTGCCATCCTTCCGTCCTACTGGTAACAGATGACACTGATGCATAGCGAGGTTTTGCTGTCCTTGGGTGGAAAACTCTCCCCTGGTCAACCGTAGCTCACCTCTTCACACATGGAGAAGTAATCACAACACACAAGCAAATGGAGCAAGTAGGTCTTCCTTTAGAAAGCACAATGATCCCCTTATGGTTTTGACATTGAAACAACCAAAGCTTTCCGGTAACTGATTAACTGCTGTTTTTAGAGAGGAAACAGAACTGAAAGGAGTTGTACACAGAAAATGACATTGAGCAGAAAGTACAACCTTACTGATGTGCCACTATGAGACTTGACTGACAGTGAAAAAAGGGAAAAAGAAAAGTACAGTAGAATTCAGCACGGCTACAGTTAGAATGAGTCCAGTGATATTTCTGATATAGTGTCCTTAACAGTGGGAAATACACCAGGAATAATGATGATTGTACTTTGATTAGCATTTGTATGACTAGTAGCTCCTCATAGATCACAAACATAACATACATATAACTTTTAGATCCTAGAGTTCCCATATAATTCCAAATAAAAACAAATTTAGCAAGATTATTACAATTAAACAAAAACGTTCATCCATCGATATTCTTCTGCTTTACAGATGCCAGGTCGCAGGGGCAGCAGTCTAAGCACTCACACTTCCTCCACTTCATCTGAATCCTGAGGCATTCCCAGACCAGCTGAAAGACATATTCCCTCCAATGTGTCCTGGGTCTGCCCAAGGGACTCCTACCTGAGGGAGGCCGGTCCCAAACAGATGTCCGAGCCACCTCAACTAGCTTCTCGACGTGGAGAAGCAGCGGCTCTACTATGAGCTCCTCTTGCGTGACTGGGCTCCTCACCCACATCTCGGAAGTGCCCAGACACTTTGCAGTGAAAAGTCAGTTATCATAAAAAATGTAATGTAATCAAACATATTAACAATGAAAAACAAAATAAATTCATTGTAAAAAAAATAATCTCAAATTCATGTGGTTGTGAGATGCAAACGGATTTGTTTTATATGTCATATTGCCTTCAATAGATGCTTGTTCTGCAGGTGGCTGGTTACACACATCTGACCATAAGAGTAGTGGGTGGGTGTGGTTTATTGTGGTTCCCTCAGACCTAATTGAAAGAACCTTTTTATCACTCATTTCATTTTTAATTACTGATTTGATTATTTTGGATACTTCTTCTTCCACCCCTGCTCTCCTCTGACTGGTTAATTATGACTTCAACTGTGGCATTTTTAAAGTGTACTGCTTATTTTACTTAAGCTAATCCAAAATAAACAGACTACATAGCTTCAAAGTCTGCCTGGCTGTGTGGTCTTTCCCCCTATGCGACCACATCGAGCCCATAACAGAAAGGCCAGAGGAACACTTATGACACCACAAATACTTGGTGGCATTTGATATATGGAACTTTTTAATATGTATTCCTCTTTTTTGGGTTTACTTCAAGTAAATTACTTGTGTGTCCAGGAGGCACCCACATACTGCTCATATTGGTTTCCCAGCAGATAACTCTTTTCTGGGAAATATTCTTTCACTTTCATTCTTTCCCCTGGATCTCACACTGATGTCATGTAGCACGGTCTTTGAATCAGAATATGTCAGAGACCGACTCATATGCAGATTTATCATGTGGTCAACTTTGTGATTCATTCCAAGTAAAAAATATACTTTACTTTTGCCACTTGACTTTCATAATCCATTCTCACTATTATTACTCATTATTCCCAGTTCTTCTTTGCAAAAGTGTTCCAGCTCCTTCACATTGTGGAGAGTATTTGTAAAGATTTGTCTATCTCTGGATACAGTAGGTCTGGACTTTGACTGGGCCATTCCAACACACAAATATGTTGTGTTAATAGCTATTTCCATGGTATGAAAAGTCTTTTTGTTTTTATGTTAAGGGTACATGTCGTGGTGGAAGGTAAATCACCTTTATATTTTCAGAAGTGAATTTCCATCTACCACTCGTGTTTTATCATTACCTATACCATCTTTCCGCAGTGCATGACTAATATTTTCCCCACGTACAGATGCACCCCAGGTGAGATGTGGATGTGTGCAGCTCCTCCAGAGTTACCACTGGCCTCATGTCTGCATCTCTGACCAGTGTTATCCTTGTTCAAGCTTTGAGTTTGTCTTCAGGTTTTCTGTTGTGCCACACTCTTTGTGTTCCTCGATGGACTAAACCGAGCTCTGTGAGATGTTTAAAGCGTAGAAAATCTTAGTATAACCAAATTATGGTTAAAACTTCTCCACAACTTCCTCCCTGACCTCTCTGGTGGGTTCCTTGGACTTCATGATGCTGTTTAGTGACCAGTGACCTCCAACAGGTCCTCACAGAACAGCTGTAATCATACTGAGATTACGCCTGTTACAGACCAGGACGTTGCTCAATGGTTAGGTCAACATTGTACCATTCATTAGTCTTCAGGACATTTCTAATGGTAATTGGTTGCACTCAGAGAAACTTCACACAATTTACTCGCTGATGAAACTCTGTATTGTGTCTGGCCCTGAGTGAACAACCTGCAAAAGCCACTATGAGTACTTCACCTGCCTAATGATGTGTTTATGAGCTCCCTCATCACCAGTTAACAGCAGAAAACGCCAGGACCACGTCAGACCATTATCCAGGTGTCTCCTGACGCAGGTGGGCGCCGGTCACTGGTAATTGTTCTGAAGTTAATGAGAAGTCACAGCACTTGGACATTGTAAAGAGAAATCTCAGGAGTCAGTCAGGACTTAACCAACCCCTGTGTGTCTGCAATGAGCCTAATGGAGCCTAATGGAATATAATAATAGAAAATTAAAATGTCTCAATTAGTTTGTATTGATATTTTTTCTGTTATAAATTGATATAAAGAATTTGGGGCAATAAGACAACCACATTTGACAATCAATCACCACAAATCCGTGGAAACTCAGCAGCTCAACTGAAAATTAAATGGCAAATTAGTTCACTTTTTACAGTGCAATATCTGTCCAGTTAATTAACTAACAGTACTCCATACCTGTCGTCAAAATATAAAGCTTGCATTTAAGAAAAGCACTGCACACCTTTTGCAGAACTGTAAAACATTGGGGAAAGTGGCTTTGGTTTCCAGCCATAGTGATGATACAGTTCCTCATAAATGTCTGAATGGAGCCAACAAGAGGTATTTAAAGGGCGTCTGCAGCAGCCATAAAACGGCCCTGTCAAATAAATGTGTATGATGACCACATTAATAAAACCAGGGCCAAAATCGCTTCAGTCTGAAAACAGGTTGTTGATCAGTCTTTCCAAGTTAGAATTTCCGTAGTAAAAAAATATGGCTTTGAGTTTTGTTGACACTTACCACTATGGTTGAAAGATACCAATCCTTCTTGACTTGGACAATGCAGGGCTAAAAAAAAACGGATTTATGTCACTTATTTAATCTTTGGTTCAGATTCTTATTTTTTCTTTTGATTTCTGCCCCGGACCCATGCGTTTGTATATGTTTGTGTGTTTTCATGTTTATAATAATCTGCACTGTAACAAAATTGAGGGCAGCAGGACTAACTACAACCATTTAACATTAAGACTACTTCACTGCACAATAACGCAATTTCCGCACGAAAACCAGACGAAAAGTAGCTTAAATCCACAAACATAAGTCACAGCTGAAGCATGTATTATCATGATAACATTTACATAAGAGAGACTGTCGCGTTAAATTAGCTTCTTTATAAAGCTCATACAAAGCAACAGCTAATGCTTTTCAGTGCTACCTCCATTCACACCTCATTAATACAAGTAAAGACCTCAAGTAAAGACCTCAACTCCAGTCACACA